AAAATTTTCGTATTATTTTTTAATATTAGCATTCTACTTTGGGAAGGAATACTTGTTTGATATAGATTATTATATTTGAAAAGAAAAACTCACTACGTGCAAAGCATCAAGGTTTCTAATAACAAACGATCTATTTTCAAGATATCGCATGTTTGTTTTATATAGGTTTCCTATGTTCTTTTTAGAGTTTTAGAAACATCTGAAAGTTCCTTGTTTTTCGACATCCAAGGATACCGCTTCACTTTGTCTTCATGACTCTTGAAACACGCTATATACATATACACGACAATATCAGTGGTCAAGCAACATAAACTACCTGATTTAATCAAAGTGTGTATGTCTAAAAATTTTAAACATAGAAAAATGTTCTTATGTGTTTTATGACATATCCAGACTATCTATTTGCACTCATTCGAAACAAAATAAAATACTCTTTTTTTTATAACGTTTTTCAATTATTTATCGATTCGGTCGTAGAAACATTGATAGTAAACTACAAAGTCAATCAAGTAGAACGTGATTGATGAAATATTTTCATTTGTTCGTTATATGTAGTTGTTCAATAATTATCGGCGACACCATCTTTATATATAAAGGTGAGGTGACAAATTATTGATTACCTTCAAAATTCGACAAATTGCATTAAAAACTAGTTACTTCTTAATTAAACTGAAATAAAGATGATTAATATTAGTAGAATCTTTATATTTTCAAGAATATTAATAATTTGGCTTATTCCTACTATTGTTTTGATGTATTTCGTTAGTTTTCAAAACAATACTCAAGTGATACAACCAAAAGAACAAATACGAGTACGAGGTGTTTTTGTTACACTTATTCGTAGTACTAATCGATCCATCTTTCTTACAATCAATATGATACATTCTGTTATTCACTTTTATCCAACTCATAATGGTTCTCTATATCCATTTATTATATTTCATGATGAAAATTTTACTTCAGACATGCGTCAACAAATATTATCTTGTGCACTTCAAAACAATAGAAAAATAAACATTTCATTTGCACTAGCTAATTTTCAAACATCAATACAACCATCTAATGAGTCTAGATTGAAGAGACCAATGGGATATCGTTTAATGTGTCGATTTTGGACATATGATATTTTTTATCATGCAGCTATTCGTCATGGTAGTTATGATTATCTAATGAGAATGGATGATGATTCATACTTTTCAAATGTAGTCAGAGAAGATCTTTTTCTTTATATGAAAAAGCAAAAATTAGATTATCTTTATCGATCTTCATATGAAGACTCGTTCGACTCGATGCATCCAATCTTACAACATTTTCTCAATAAAATTAATCTTCGACTTGCTTGTATTTATAACAATATGTTTGTTATTCGTTTGAAATGGTATTATGAATCCGAACGAGTTCAAAGTTTTGTTCATGAATTGATTCGAGATAATTTAATGCTTCGAGAATATATTGGTGATGGATGTGTTCATTCAGCTATGCTTGAAATTGATAATCGAGTGAAAGTCGAACGTCTTACAAGTATTTCATATGGTCACAATTTTCATGTGATGCCACCGGGATACGTGAAAATATTGTTTCATTTCGTAAAAGCATTCGATGAGGAGATGAAGAAATCATGTCAACAGCTGACAGTACTGAGAGATCCTCAAGGCATATTAAAACGAATCAAAATGTCCTAAAGAGTAGAATTGATAGAAAACAAAAACCTCTATTTTTCATATTTTTATTTTTTATTTTTTTTACGTGTTTAATATACTACTCTTCTAATTCTAATTTCGTCGTGATACAAGTGAGTATTTTAGGTTGTCGGAGTACAATTCGATTAGAAATTGATTTTCTATTTTAGCTCGAACATACATTTATATGTTGAAAGTGATGAATATATAGAGAACAAGATATTCATATCAGCAAACGTAGTAAAGACTTTGGGAAAGGAGAGGCTCGATGACTTGTCTAATTGATTGTCTACAATAATATGATTTCTGTCATGTTAAACTTTAACTCAAAGTGTTTCAAATTGACTTCTGCTGGAATTAGACCTAGAACACATGTTTCTGAATTTTTGCGAAAGCAAAGTACACGAAAATGTTTGAACATCATGTGAATCTATCGAGTTTGGAATGCTGGCACAGTATATCATATTAGTTCTTACCTAAATCTTATGTTTCCGACTAGGGGTGGCACTTTATCTTTAACCTTTACAGGTTAAAGTGGTTAAAGTTACAGTTAAAGTGACCATACTTTAAACTTTAACTTTAAAAAATTTAAAGTTAAAGTAAATGTTTCACGATAAAAAAAATTTTTCTTAAAAATTCATCGAAGTGAATAAACATTTATGGAAGTACCGATAACTCTTCAAGCACTGTGAAACGGGGTTATCCATAGGCAATCATCTACTAGATATTGGGAGTACCCTTGGGTCATCAAGTACTATATATTGGGGGTACCCTCAAGGGGGAAAAAGCAGATTTTAACATTTTAAGATTTTAAAAGATTTTAAAAGATTTTGAAAGATTTTGAGGGTTTTTAGAGATTTTGAAAGATTTTAAGATTTAAAGAAGGTGGACTATTTTATTGAATGCCACTTAACTAAAATAGGAATGGAAAGCTACCGTTACCGAGTAACTGGTACCGCTGTTCTTGGGGACATAAGTCCTACTTTAGGAGCGTACTCTTGGCTCCTGAAGTACTATTATGGAAGGTACGCTTGAGTCCTCAAGTCCTATACTGGAAAAGGGGGGACTATTGGGTCCCTACGTTTATACTAGGGGATACCTCTGGGTTCTCAAGTACCATAAGAGCGACATGGTCACGCGTTATGGAATTTCATTTTTTCACATTGCAATACTTACATCTCATCAGATATAAAGGCAAATTCCCTGAAATTTTTATGATATATCAGAGATGTCCATCGCGGCGCTGCCGCGGTGGCGGCGGCGGCAGCGGTAGTGGCACATTTTTTAAAAACCCAACGCGGCAGCGGCGCGCCAGCGCCAGGATTTTTTTTGGAGGACATTGAAAAACTGCATGAATTTAATAGAATTTCAGAGTTTACAGATGGAACACCCCGAGACTGAATGAATCTGATGGACTAGTACCAATATCTCTGACCAAAGATAGTTGCAGCAGTGAAATTAGAAAAACTTTTTTGTAAACCGCCTCGGCAGCGGCAAGTTTATCTTACAATTCATCGCGGCAGCGCCGCCGTAGCTTTTTTTAAGGCCGCGGCGCGGCAGCGGCAGATTTTCAGCCGCGATGGACATCTCTGTGATATATAGAGACCATTCAGATATATTACCAATAAAAATTTTATCGATTTATATGCATGCAAGGCTGAGCTATTAAAAATATTCTGACCGTTGTGGAATTTCAAAAAATGAAAATTATTTTAGAGTAAGTGGAGAGACAAGTATTTTACTGCGTAAGGAAGTGACATACAACTAAATGCTATGTATACAAATTGTTCAGTTTTCTACAAGCTTTCAGAATATTGGTTCATTTCTGAACAGAGTATAATTACATCAAACAAAAACCTGTAAACACTGTCCGTTACGGAATTTGAATCGTTACGAAATTTCGTGTTTCTGTCGATTTTATAATGGAGAAAGTTTGACATCTTGAAACTTTCAATTATCACGATAAAAACTTATCTTTTCCTCAATCCAAGAGCAGCACACAGACAGTGTTACCGTCCAAGTATGTCAGTTTCACTCTCATGACGAATTGACATTAAAAGTTCTATCTATTTTGCAGACAAAAGAATGAAATGTAACAGAGTTCAACACTGATTTTTTTGGTCAGATTACTCAAAAAAAATCTTGGTGAACAGCTGTTGGATTAAAATAGGGTTTATAGCTCTGGTCGACAGGGTGTCTCGGAGTTTGCAACATGTTTCATAAACCGTCGGTGGTACACTTTTGATTTTACAGAGAGTTTTTTTTTTATTTTTGTGAGTTTAAACCTTCCCCAAGCAAGAGTGATCGATGTGTGGTCATACCAATAGCGAGATACCCTTGGGGCCACAAGTCCTACCATACGGGAATTCTCTTGCGTCCTGAATTTCTATGCTAGGTCGTACTCTTGGGTCTCCAGGTTCTATACTAAGGGTACCAATGAGTAGAGACCTGCGAAGTACTCCGAAATCCATTTCTAACTGCCGCTCCATCGAAGTCGCAGTTAAAAGTGAGTTTACTGAAAATATTTTTCGCAAGCTGATCTGACTCCGATTCGACTAGGAAAATTTTTTCGAATTATCTCATCTCTGATGAAATTTTGCTATTTCATATAACAATAAGTTTACTTATATATGCAAACAAGAAAAAAAGATAACACTTACCTAACTCTTCAGCTTGACAAACAAAAAGAAAGAAAGATAACAGTTGGCACATATTTTAAGAACGAGTTGCAAGAGAAAAACTCATGTTGATAACGTTTCGGCCGTATCTTTCGAAAGACCGACCTCATAAAAGCATAATATCGTCAATGGGAATATATTTCAATTTTATCAGAAGTAGTACAATTCTCTTGATCATCAACTTTCGATTTCTTGGATATTGTACATGTCGGAAAACTCTTAGTGATTGGTTTTATTTTCACTGAGCAACAAATGTAAAAGAACTTCCAGATTAATCTATTAATGATTCTTGGATTTTTCTTCACTCATTTGTTCCTTTATCGATTAGGGGCTGCATTATTATTACTGGTAGCAAGTAATAGCATATAAGGTTATTAATTACTGTAGGTAATTAGAAATAATCTATGAAAGTAGCAAAAGTCAGAAACTAAAAGTGTTATCAAGTCATATAGTATTAAAACTAGTATCTCATAGAAGCAATGTTGTTATTAGTTTATTTAGGGGTGGTGCATTAGCATTAGTATTAGCATTAAATTAATGCTAACACCAATTTTCTTGTTTTCCGTTCCTAAGAAAAAGTATTTGAATTTGTACTGATTAATGTAAGGTTAGACGCAGTCAACAGCCCTGATTAATTCCATTACTTTTGTATTACAATTTTAATATAAAAACATTGTAACTAATAATAAGTTAAAGCTTATAATAGTATTAATTTATATCAGCTACAGTACTTTTATTTTAAAATTGTAACATAAAAGTATTAGAATTAATCAGGGCTGCTGGCTGCGTCTAACCTTATATTAATCAATACAAATTCAAATACTTTTTCTTAGGAACGGAAAACAAGAATATTGATGTTAGCATTAATTTAATGCTAATACTAATGCTAATGCACCACCCCTAAGTTTATTACTAGTAACAAAGTATATAAAATTATTACCAATTATTGAGTAATAATAATAAAAAATAATCCAGTAAAACCTCTACTAGCGAGCAGCTCTCTACAATGGAAACCTCGTTATTATTAGCGTTTTTCACGAGTCCCAAAAGTCAATTGTTTCTGAAAATGGACGTCTCGAAGGTGAACACCTGTTTATTATGAACGTTTATCAGTAATCTCGATCATGCTCACTTTAGAGAGACTTCACTGTAGTAATGTAGCCACCTTATTGTTGATTTCCACATGCTCTGCATTAAACAATAAAATATATTTGAGATTTCCTTTTCTTATATAAAAAAGAATTCGGAGTTTCTCGAAGCTGAAATCGGAGTCAAAAAGGAAAAAAGTTTCGAAGTTGAAGTTGAAATCGAAGTCGTAAAGAAGGAATTTTTCGGAGTCGAAGTCAGAAGCGGAATAAAAAAATTTGACTCCACACGTCTCTACCCTTGGGTTATCAGGTACTACTATAGGGAAGTACCATTGGAACCACAAGACCTATTGTAGGGGATACTCTTGGATCCTCAAGTACTATTATAGCGAGGTACACTTGAACCCTGAAGTCCTATACTAAGCGGGGGTACCCTTCAGTCCTCAAGTCTTACTATAGAGGGCATCCTAGGGTTCTCAGGTACTACTATAGGGGAACGTTTGAATCCTCAAGGTCTTCTAGAGGGGCTAGTCTTGGATCCTCATGTCCCAAATTAGAAGGTATTCTTGGATTCTCTAGTTGTATACTAGGCGGTACTAGGAATCTGATCTTACCGTTACTAGAAAGCTGGTAGTGGGATAGTTTCCTCGTTCTAGGATTACAGTGAGGACAGTAACTTGTCCGTTACCCGGTGATTGTAACGACTAAGTCTCTCGAGTTTCTCTAACTATCGGTGTACCTTGAATTTCACATGGTCTATAATCTGGGGAAGGCGACTAGCCATGACCGGCAATCTGAGAAGGTACGCCTAGAGCCTCATGAAAACTGGTATACAGGTTCCTGAAGCCTTTAAAACAGTTTCAGAATGAGTGACGAATAGTTTTGAAGTGCTACTCGATAGAAGAGGTGGATTTGCTGAGGTGAAATCGGATCAAGGGGCAAAAAGCAGACTTTAGCATTTGAAATCTCTAAAGTCTTCCAAAACCTTTCGAAATCTTTTAAAATCTCTCAAAATGTTTAGAAATCTCTCAAAATCTTTCAAAATCTTTTAAAATCTTTTAAAATCTCTCAAAATCTCTTAAAATCTTAAAATCTGCTTTTTCCCCCCTTGCCTTTAACCCGGCACAGAGAAACAGACAGACAGACACTGAACATTATATATATAGATGATGGCCCAAGGGTACCCCTAATATATAGTAGTTGATGACCCAAGGGTACCCCCAATATATAGTAGCTG